TAATCCAATTTCCTTTTCAGGTTCCTCAAGAAATACCCTTCCACGGTGTGGGCAGCCGGGAAGTAACATCAGCCCTCATACCCGTAACAGCACAAGAGACCAAGGTGGTCACATTCAAATCCTTCCTACACCTCCTAATACCTCTCTTATCTCCCCGACTAACCCTCCTCACGTCTCTTTATCACCTCGCACCCCTAGAGCAAACGATTCGAGTACGTGGAACGCCATTCCTGGTCTCCTGAAACCACGCTCTAAACTATACGTAGGAGCTTTTAACGTACGGACACTTTGCCAAATAGGACAGCAGGCTTCCTTAGCTAAAACTTTAGAATCTCGCGCCATCGATGTGTGCTGCGTCTCCGAAACGCGCATACAGGATCCGAGTAGCGTCATTCATTTGACCTCACCATGCCAAAATAAAGAACTGACTCGATTTACGCTTCGTGTATCTGGAAGCCCTGATTCTGCTTCCCGTGGCCTCCCCGGCGTAGGTATAGCATTGAGTCCCAGGGCAGAACTAGCTCTCTTAGAGTGGATCCCAGTAGACAGTCGTTTGTGCGCTGTCCGACTGAACGGAACAGTAAGAATCCGGAAAGATAGGGACACTCGTCGTTGCCTCTTCTTCGTCGCTGCCTATTCTCCCACTGACTGCAGCTCAGATGATGTAAAAGATGAGTTTTACAGAAAGCTTTCGGACCTTCTCCGAAAAGCTAAGCGCTCGGATGTAGTGATAGTGGCCGGTGACTTTAATGCTCAAGTAGGTAAATTAAGCGATAGGGAAAGACACCTAGGTGGATCTTATGGTGTCGTGGCTCAAAGAACAGATAATGGCGACCGTCTGTTGCAGCTATGCTCGGAAAACCGCCTGTTCCTTGCAAATACTAACTTTAAGCATAAGGAAAAACATCTTTGAACATGGCGACCCCCTAATTCGTCCCAACGTTGGACCCAAATAGATCACATCGCTATCAGCCACCGATGGAGGGGCTCGATAGAAGACTGTCGCTCATTCTGGAGCACATGCCAGGATTCAGATCATACTCTAGTGCGGGCGCGTATTTGCTTGCGTCTTACTGGACGTAGGAAAGACGCTGCAAGTAAACGTCTTAGGGCCCTACTTAATGATAGTCAAGCTAAGAGTATATTTTAGGAACAACTAGGAAAACAGTTAGGCAGCCATATAAGTGATGCCCACCCCGAGGCAGCATGGAATGATATCCGAAAAGCTGTGGAAACAGCAGTGATATCTGCTAGAAAGGTAAACCAGAAGGTTAGGGAGTGACACTGGATCTCAGCAGCATCTATCTCACTGATAGATGCTCGGAAACTCATTCCACCTGGCTCTGAACATAATGAAGAGTGGAGTCAGCTTAAGCGCAAGCTGACAAGAAGTTTACGCAATGATCGTGAACAGTGGTGGGCAGCGAAAGCAAGAGAGATGGAAAAGGCAGCGGCAATAGGTAATAGCAGACAATTGTTCAGACTTGTTAAGGAAACCGGAATTAGGAACCCGACCGTTAGCGAAACAATCTCAGAGAAAGATGGACATATTATTCATTCTCAATCCAGGAGATTGGATCGATGGGCAGAACACTTTAGGGAACAGTTCAACTGCCTTCAGCCACACTTCGGTTTCCCACGATCTCCAGTCAACCTGCATGGCAAGTTAATGTAGGTCCTCCGTCCTTTTACGAAGTTGAAAAAGCCATAGGAAATCTGAAGCGAGGGAGAGCAGCAGGCCCTGACAGGTTTACTCCTGAGATCTTTAAGGATGGTGGTCCAGTATTAGCAATGAAATTAACCGAGGTCTTAGGTAGAATTTGGGAACTGGACGTAATCCCATCTGACTGGTCTCAACCACTCATTGTGCCAGTCTATAAGAAAGGACAAAAGTCCTCTTGTGACAATCACAGAGGAATCAGTTTGACTAATATAGTGTCTAAAATATTAGCTTCAATAATACTTCGACGCCTAACCAAAGCTCGTAAAGAGCAGACTAGAGAAAATCGGGCTGGTTTTCGACCTGGACGTGGTTGTATAGATCAGATATTCACACTACGTCAGGTTCTAGAACACAGACACACTCAGACGCCCCACAATGGTAGTATTTCTCGACCTTAAGGCGGCATTCGACTCTGTTGATCGTGAGGTTCTATGGCAGTGTTTGTCACTGAAAGTAGTACCAAAGAAGTACATTAACCTTATGAAGGTTCTCCACTCGAATACAACTGGTCGACTGAGAGCTTATGGCGAACTGTCATCAGAATTGAATACCTCAAGTGGTGTTCGTCAGGGCTGTCCACTCTCACCATTCTTGTTCAACTTTGTGGTCGATGTACTTTTAGAGATAACACTCTCCTCATCTAAATTTCCAGGGGTTGAACTTTTACCGGGAGGTTCACTTGTTGACTTAGAATATGCCGATGACATAGTTTTATTTGGTGAAGACGCTGACAAATTTCAGAGTCTTCTGACCACTCTAAGCAACAATGCAAGCATGTTCGGGATGCGATTCTCTCCCTCGAAATGCAAAATGTTGCTTCAGGATTGGGTTACATCGACACCCGAACTAGTGATAGGGAGTGAAGTAGTTGAGTGTGTCGACCGCGTCACTTATCTTGGAAGTCTCATTAGCCTTTGTGGTCTGGTGTGTGACGAAATCTCAGCACGGATACAGAAGGCTCGACTAGCTTTTGCCAACTTGCGTCATTTATGGCGTAGGTGAGATATCCGTCTACCAACCAAAGGACATGTTTACTGCGCAGCAGTTCGTTCCGTCCTACTTTATGGCAGTGAAACGTGGCCGGTAAGAGTAGAGGATATCCGTAGGCTACTAGTATTTGATCATAGGTGTCTTCGAAACATTGGTCGTATATCATGGGACCATCGAGTAAGTAACACAGTATTAGGAAACGGGTACTAGGTAAGGATGACGAATTGATTGGTGAAGTAGTGAAACTTCATCAGTTGAGATGGCTGGGACACGTGTTACGTATGCCCAACGACCGACTACCTCGACGTTCTATGTTCAGTGGTATAGGAGTAGGTTGGAAGAAAGGTAGGGGTGGCCAAACCAAAACATGGCACAAGTCCATGAAGTCACTGACAAGTGAACTGAGTCATGTTGGTAGGTGTAGACTACCTGGTTGGGGACCGCGAGATGATAGCAACCGATGGTTAGAGACCCTGAATGATATGGCTCAAAATCGTTTGCAATGGCGCAGGTGCATCCACTCTTTGTTTTCTCCCAAATTCTAATCTTCTGAATTCTTCATGTCCCTTTTTTCCTCTTTCCAAATTTATTTCACTGGATTATACTCTTTAAATAACATCTCCAAACCCTAATCTTCCCGATTACTGCTTATACTCTTGCTACCTCTACCACTACGGGATTTGAATCGACAACTGCATCTCTGTGCTAATGTGGTGTGGCAACTCGAACTGATGTACGTACGTACGAAGTTCTACGTTGTTACTGACTGACCACTGATACTGTTAGTATGTCTACTATTCTGTGATTTGGTTTGACGATTTCATCTCGGTGTGCTAACGGATGTGATAACATGAACCGATGTACATACCTACAAGTTCTATTTTGTGATTGACTGACTAAAATTCTATGGTGAATAGTGTGGTCGATAAATATCCAACTTTTTGAAATCGAATAAATAGTTTACTCATAAAACTATATTGCATTTGCTGACCAAATAGATCCTAGAAATTTATAACATTTGTCAGTTAACTGAATGGAGGGGAATGAATCAATAACATAAAAATACGATCATGCATTCAACAAAAATTACATGATTGTGAATCGATTTGGCTGTAACAGAAAAAATATTCACAAAATAACTACATTGGCTATTCTTCTAGTTTGTTGTATTATTAAGTAATCTGGACTGAAGAAACATAATACACCCAATAAAGAATTGTATATTCAACGGATTTCCACCAAAGCATTAAAAAAAAGTTATACTCATCAATTATTTCTTTGTACTTAAATATAGAATACCTTCAAACATGTATTCGTTCTTTTTGGTCTATCAATTCGAAACATTGTGGTCATGCTGTTCAGGCAACCAATAGTCTATAGTCATTTATGAATATTGTGTTCGATATATTCGCTATGGCATGTTTTGTTCGTTAGTAGGGTCTCAAACTTTTTTTATTTCAAATTGAGCTGTTGCTGAGGTAAATAGCTGCGGATAGGGGCTTCAAAGTAATGGTTACGTCTTAGTTCAGTAAGATCTAGGTTTTGTTAATATATCGAATCATGCAACTTCAGATTCAAACTCATCTCAAGTTGTTCAACAAGTTTGACCTAATAGTATCGTACATTCTTGTCACACTGGGTGTGTAATAACGCTCAGTCTCCCGTCTACAAAAATGGGGCGCTAATTTGCCCTGGATCAATATCTGCACTAAATGCACTCCCAATGTCTATTCTACAGGACGTCAACACAACTCAGGTCAGAGCACGTGATTAGCCTGACTAGAACGTAAGTATATTTCCACACCAAAACCCGACAACAATCACAATAATAATATGGGTAGGGGAATATATGACTTATCTAACACCTGTCAGACTACCTGCTAATCTGATGAAGCAAACAACCAATCATTATCTTCCTTGCCTACTCATTAGGATATTACTCATAACTAAGTTTCCAAAGTAATGCACAGTTTGAATACTACTTCACTCTAATGGTTGTGCTATGCGAACACAGTAACGCGTGTGTTATCTGCCACTGCTTTCCCTTATACCTTGACCTTTCTTAAATTCTAACACGAAACAACTTTTACCCTCTGGCTTTTCAGTGGTTGATCTTCTACCAGAATATTTACTTATTACTGATTTATAATATTCAGGTAAAATTCCATTCAACGAACTAATTGACGAATTGACATTACAAAATTTTCTAACTTCCAAATTATTTCATAAATTGACCATTTAAACAAAAATGTATTGTGTTTTCTTTTTAAAAATAAAATTTATGTAGAGTTTGTCGAAAACATCTCCGGCCGTATTTTCTTCGTTCATCCGGATTACATTGTTTCTATAATGTACTAACTAATTTAGGCGCTATGTTATGTTTAAATTATTTGGGTGTACCGTTTCTTCTATTGACTACTGATAAAGTTTTGCATTTTTGGAGGTTAGTTAAATTATGTATATATAGATAAAAGTCGATATTGTTATTGTCGTTGAAATTTCATTTGTAATTTTACCACGTATTGTTATATGCAGCTGATGTATTAATTCATTCGATTTTGAAATGTTGAGCATTTCCTAGCTCAAGTGGAGATTTTTATTTTGTTCCGCCATTAGATTCCTATATACTTACTTCCTATACGTAACCGTGACCTGGTATGTGACTGAAAAGATGAAAAGTGGAGTGGGAGTTTTGTTAGTACATAAAGTTCAAGTATTCATGTATATTCAAATAAACACTGAATAATTATTTATGCTCATGATTCGAGACTCTTATTATCAACTGAGGTTACGCAATAATTAAGGGGTACGGAAGGAAATACAAGGATGAAAATAATTAACGGGTCAGATTACATTGGTTGCACAAAGTGATCACTTTCCAAACCTATCTGAGAACACTATCTGGCTTTACTAGTTCTATACAGAAGCATTTAATCAACTGTGGACACATCGCTCCAAAGGAGTCTTTTTTGAAAGTAATCTATACAGTCAAATGAATTGGATCAAAGGGATGTCGAATCAATATTTTATGTACTACTGAGGCATTGGCAATTCACCAGCTCAAGTTGTTATAACTTGTGGCCTGTTAATGTATAACGTAACAATACCGCCAATTAAAGAGCAGTGAATTATCGATCGGACCAATGACGCGTAAAACCCGTGCGAGCAGTCTAGAGTCCTTATCGGTCCTGCTTCCTGCCTAGCCCAGCCAGTTATTTCAAGCATACTGTGTTTATATACCAACCAGACAGACCACATCGTACCTTAAAATAGGAAACAACATTCGTACAAGATTTAGCCAAATGTCGCTGTGAATGTGGGAGGTAGAAGTTAATAGACAGGGCATAATTCGAGAATGCTAAATCGTATAATAACAGTTTATAAGTCAAAATAAAGCTCATAATAAGAGGGACATGAATATGAATAGTTTAGTTAATTAACAATTATACGATAAAAATATACGTATAGTATTAGTCCATAAATGGATCTCAAAAGTTACCATTCATTATGCTTATCGGGACATAACACAATCACTTGATTTACTTCCGGATTTCAATCTTTAACATTCGATAAATCAAACGATTAAGCATTACTTTCAATAGTGTTATTATTTATCACTAATGTTGTATAATTTTCATAATATAAAAGTGATTCTATTCTATTAGTACATTAATTAGATATTAATGATCTTAGAGTATACACTACTAATGTTTCTTCTCTTCTCTTTTCTCTACTGTTCTTTTTTTTAATTCTTCAGACAAATGCACTTTATTGGACATATTGGACCATTGGCTTTAATTATTGGCGTTCCTTTATTATGTGGTAAACCAGGAGAAATATAAGAATATATACTAATGATAATATGACATGGATTTAGAAAAAAATTTTTTTTTAAATAAATGTTCGTCATATATTCACAAATGTACTTGGTAATAATAGAGGAAAAGTAAGGATCAGCCGATGATATCCGTTTAAGTCTCAACATATACGTTACTTTATTGTTAATAATAAATAAGAATACGATTTTCCCTACTATTTATTATTATTAATAACAAACACAATAAGACCCTTCAAGCATATGAACACACACATACATATGCGTTTTGTCAGCCAATATTCTTCATATCATATTACATTTACTCTATTCTTATTAGTATTATTAATGGCGTTGTTATTTTATTATCTCCAGCTTTTTACAACTGACCTCAAAAGTATGTTTTCTTGTTTGGTTTTATTTTTTTTGTTCTTCATTATTCATTGTCCACAATGTATGTTTATTATTTTGTTACTACTTATATCTGTTTAAGTTGTAAAAGAGCGTATATATATATATATATGTGTGTGTGTGTTTATGTATAAATTTATCTCCTCATATTCATGTACTATTTTGTTACTCTTTTTTTGTGTGTTAGTGGTTAACACATTACAATTTGTTGTTTACAAAACTGGCATATGATAAGATAATAAAATAAGACGCAGTCTATGTGTTTCATAATCATTATTCATATTAGAATCAATGTTTAATATACAAAAAAAGAGATTGATACAATATTTCTCATGTTGATATAACTAATGAATAGCGTCATTTGAAACTGTGATATACTACTAATTAGATAATTAAAATAACTCATTGAATAAAAATAAAGAGAATTCAGCAAAGATAATTTTCTTTTCGACGAAATCATTTCCTTAAACTGTATATTCGTATTTATAGTTATATGAAAGATACATAAGTCTATTTCATCATAAATTGATTCGAGATTCTTATTATTAAATAAGGTTACGCAATAATCAAGGCGTAAGAAAAGAATATAAGGATGAAAATAATTTACAGGTTGGATAATTGTCCAATTGACAGATATGAAGAAAAAATGACAAACATAAAGGTCATAATAATAAAAAACTGAATAGTAATATCAGAAGGAGTTTGTGGAGATTTTAGAAATTTCACAGATTTAAATCATGAGTCAGTTGAAGCTACACCACCATGGAGAAACCCGAAGCACTGGACGGTCGTTCCGTCTCAGTATGGGACTCCTCAGCAGTGCACACCCACGACCCCGCACCCCGCGGGATTTGAACCCAGGACCTACTGGTTTCGCGGGCGAGCATTTAAACATTAGACCACTGAGCCGGCATCCGACGGTGTTAATGTCTAATTTCAACCAATCCACGAAATTGCGCCACCGTATACCATTGTCTTCAGTAAGTTACTATCTCATAACAGACCTGGTTGAACTCCACTGGTAACGGCTTCCCACTAGAGGAGTCCCATACTAGGACGAAACGGCCGTCTAGTGCTTCCAGGTTTTCCATGATGGTCTAGCTTCAATTGACTCATGATTTCAATCTGTGAATAGTAATAACCAAGAAAACCTGTATAATGTGATAGTAATAATAATAACTGAGTGCAGTTTAGAATTACAAAACACTAATTTAAAAAATCAATAATAATAAAATAAAAAGGGAAGAAAAAAACGAAACATACTACTAAAGGGAATTAGGGCTAAGGAAAGATGAGAAGTTGGACGAATCGTTTTTGCACGTAAATTTCAAGCTTGAGTTGGTGGATTGCTAGTGCATCAGCAGTGCATAAGATTTTGATTCGACTTCCTTTCGATCCAATCCCTTTGAATGTGTAGATTACTTTAAAAGAAGACTCCTTTGAATCGGTGTCCAAAGTTGATTAAATGTTCCTTATTGAACTGGTAATTGCTTAGCATTCTCCTTTTAAAAGCCATACGGGGTAGTGTTCTGAAATGCGTTTGGGAAGTGATCGCTTTGTGCGGTTAATATAACATGCCCCACATAAGCAAGTAAATTTATAGATGCACATTGATATGGCCTAAAGTGGAAGTTTATCCTTAACACATCCGTGAATGGTAGGCTGGTTTGAGAAAACAGTTTGGAGCTTAGCTGGGTAAAATGTTTGATTCAACGATTTTGAAAGCATAGTAGTTTCTGTGAGAGGACCATTTGTAAAGAGAGAAGTGACATCCAATGAGAATATTTTCCTATCATTTACATTGATATTTTTAATTGAGTCGATAAAGGAACCAAGAAAGTTGAGCCATATCACACATACTAGCGTCAAGTTTCCTCTGTAATGAATTATCTTTTGTTGGCTAATTGGTTTTATCTTCAAAAAACTTTCATTGTTTTTCTAAACAAAATCACCTGCATATAACTGAAGTCCTTCCTAATAAAAGATATCAAATGTATGCGTCTAAAAAGTCTTATCAATCTGTCAGTCATCGTAGCCTTAAGAATTCACTACATAAACTTTTAGACGATTTTATTTATTTGATCTGTAGAGTTATACTTGTAGTTAATTTATAAATGATGAAGAATATTTACATCTCTCCTGGATGTTTTTGGTAGTGTTGTGTCCTTCGAGCCAAATGATTTATTTATGGAACTGCATATGCAAGTAGAGGCTGTCGTTTCCTAGAATGACAACGGAAGTTTCGCAATTCAATAATCTAACTCATAAAACACAATAAACCACTAAAAGTTCTAAATATTGTTTATAATAAAAAAGAGATGTTACGTCATTCTACAAATTCATCTAAATTTTTCAAATGTAATTAGTAAGGATTTATGGAGATTGTTGAATTTCACTGAAACAGAACCCAGATTTTTTGGTATTGGGCTTGAACGCTTAACCTCAAGACTACTCCATTTAACGGTGTTAACACTGTTATGGAGTTTTCAGAAAAGAACGCAAAAGATAATTGTCTACTCTGGAGTATAGAAGATGAAGAATAAGACAGCGATTAGTAATAATGACTGTGGTCATAATATAATAAGCAAATAAACATGACTCTTTTGTACACAAAGATTTATTTGTTAGTGTCAATTATTACTCTGTGCTTTGTCTTCTATATTCGTAAAGTAAACAATTATCTCCACGAAACCCCTTCTGATAATAATCATCTGCTCACTATTGACTGACTTTAAGAGGCATTTCCTGGAGTCCTAGTGAGGAGCCGTGACCAGTGGAGTTCAACCGAGTCTGTTGTGAGATATTAGCTCACTGAGGACAATGGTGCACGGTGGCGCAATTTCGTGGATTAGTTGAGGTTAGAAATTAACACCGTTGGATGCTGGCTCAGTGGTCTGATGGTTAGGCGCCGGCGCGCGAGACTGATAGGTCCTAGGTTCGAATCTCGTGGGGTGCGGGGTCGTGGATGCGCACTGCTGAGGAGTCCCATACTATGACGGAACGGTAGTCCAGTGCTTCTAGGTTTCCCATGGTAGCCTAGGTTCAATTGACTCATGAGTTCAACCATTGAAACTATCGACATTTTCAATGTTATTACTGTTTATTTCTATGACTTACATAACTTATCTTTAATATTTAATTTTTTGTTTATTTGCGCAACCTCCTATTTCATTTGTAGACCATCAAATGTAAATTTAACTGCAATTACGTTTTTACAAGTTTAGTGTATGATATTTTGAAAAGTGATTCTTTTTTCTTTGTACTGTCGTCATTTGTTTGGTAACATTAATATTTTCACTGGATCTTTAATTCTCCCGTGACTTTTCTTTTTTAATCTACATGTCAACCGAAAAATTTAATCCACATTGTAATGATTAGTACCATCACTATTTTGAGGGTTGTGGGGATTATCAAGGAAAATTTTACCTGAGGCGAGCTTGAATGTCCTGGCTTCGATCATCTGTGGAGTGCTCATAAAAGCACACTACTGAACAATCCCACACTAGAACAAAACAGCTGTCCAATACTTTGGTGTTATTAATGATTGTTTAACTTAGTTAAGTTCGTGATTCCGATTGATATTATCGTGTAGTGGCTGGTACTATTTCAAGCGCACATAGGTTATTCTATACTCTGGACATACCAATCTATACATTCTTCTCAAGCCAAATTTTTACCTTGTCACTTATTCGCTTATTAATCCTGAATGTTGTTTACATGATCGTATGTGTTAATTACGCTATTCATTATGTGCGTGTAACTTATTTTTGATTGACTCTAAGTATCAAGTCAAGCATGATTAACTTGAGTCGCCTTACTCGCAACTCCGCCTGTAGCTCTTCTAGAGTTACTGCCGGTCCCAAGCCCGGGTAAAGGAGGAGGGTTGGGCATGGGGTTAGCGTCCCCATCCCGTAGAAAACTAACTCGCTAAAAAAACGCTTACCAGAAAAAATAATTCAAACCATTTTAACTCTGCTCTGAGAGTTAGAAGGTCTTCATTTAGAAGAATTATGACGCTTCATGGTGAAAGCCGAGTTCCTTCGGAAGCCACGAGGCCGATGCCCCTTCTAACAACCAGAGCAAAAATTTTTATAGGTACATGGAACGTTCGAACAATGTGGGAAACCGGGAAGACCAGCCAAATAGCAACGGAAATGAGGAGATACAACTTGGCAGTACTGGGAATCAGCGAAACCCACTGGACACAAGCTGGACAGAAAAGGCTAGCTACGGGAGAGATGCTGCTATACTCCGGTCACGAAGAGGAAAATGCTCCACACACTCAGGGAGTTGCTCTAATGCTGTCCAAAGTAGCACGAAATGCACTTGTAGGATGGGAATCCCACGGATCCAGAATCATCAAAGCATCATTCAAAACAAGGAAGGAGGGGATCTTAATGAATATTATCCAATGTTATGCACCCACCAATGATAGCAACGACGACATTAAAGATCAATTCTACGAGCGGCTGCAGTTAATCATAGAGAAATGTTCAAGAAAGAACCTAACCATTCTGATGGGAGATCTAAATGCCAAGGTCGGAATAGACAACACTGGATATGAAGATATTATGGGACGACATGGACTGGGAGAGAGGAACGAAAATGGAGAAAGATTTGCAAATTTGTGTGCATTCAACAAATTAGTCATAGGAGGCACAATATTTCCACACAAACGTATACACAAGGCTACATGGATCTCACCGGACCACACTACAGAGAACCAGATAGACCATATTTGCATCAACAAAAAATTCCGAAGGACAATGGAAGATGTGAGAACCAGGAGAGGAGCTGACGTAGCTTCAGATCACCACCTAGTTGTAGCCAATTTATAACTGAAGCTAAAAAAGTGCTGGACAAGTGGACAAACAGCACTACAAAGTTTCAATACAGCCTTCCTTCGAGATACTGACAAACTCAATGAATTCAAGATAGCTCTCAACAACAGGTTCCAAGCTTTACAGGATCTACTGAAGGAAGAAGAAACTACCATGGAGGACAACTGGAAAGGCATCAAAGAAACATTGACTTCAACGTGTCAAGAGGTTCTGGGCCTAAAGAAACACCATCATAAGGTATGGATCTCTATAGAAACACTGGACAAGATCAAAGAAAGGAAGAACAAGAAGGAAGCAATTAACAACAGCCGAACACGAGCAGAGAAAGTCCAAGCACAAGCTGAATACATAGAAGCAAACAAGCAAGTGAAGAGGAGCATTAGAGCCGACAGGAAGAAATACGTGGAAGAATTAGCAACGACGGCAGAAAAAGCTGCTACAGAAGGAAATATGAAACAGCTCTACGATACAACGAAGAAACTATCAGGGAAATACAGTAAACCAGAGAGGCCGGTCAAAGACAAAGAAGGCAAGCCAATCACTGAAATTCAACAACAGCGAAACAGATGGGTAGGATACTTCGAGGAACTCCTG